CTTCGGGATTCTTGATGACATTTGCAGGAGGAGCAGTTTCTTAGCAGTCTAAGTTACAGAAGTGTGTTGCTCTATCAACCACAGAAGCAGAATACATAACAGTTACTGAAGCCTACAAGGAAGCTTTATGGATGAAAAAGTTTCTATAGGAATTGGGCTTGAAACAGGAAGGATATACTGTTTACTGTGACAGTCAGAGCGCTATTCACCTCTCCAAGAATTCAACATACCATTCTAGATCCAAGCATATTGATGTGAGATATCACTGGATTCGTGATGTGTTTGAGACGAAAGAATTACAGTTGGAAAAGGTGCATACCAATGATAATGGTTCAGATATGTTGACAAAGTCTTTGCCTAAGGAGAAGCTTGAAGCATGTAGGCGAAGAGCGGGCTTGGTACAGCCCATCATATGAGCTGGAGGGGGAGAATTGTTGGGTCCAGCCTATATGTGGGTTTGGACAATTGGGTCTATTGAGCCCAAATCAGTAATTAAGAGAGAAAGGGCAAAATTGGGCAGCGTGCAGGGTGTGTGTGCGCACAGTGAGATTGCAACGTGCAGCGGCGTGCAGAGAAAAGAGGAGAGAGAAAGTAAGGTTTCTGAGTTTTCTGCTTGACGATCGGTGGCCAAACGTTATCAGTTTCGGCCCAAATTTTATGTGGAGAATCCTTGCAGCAAACTCTACAATCCTAACGGTGTTGATCTGCAGTTTACCCTCTCTAAGGTACTTTCCTGCGATATCCACTCTGTGAGACCTAGAATTCTCTTTTGAGGAGATCTATCCTACGTGATGAAGATATGCTATCCTTGAGCCAAGATCTATGATCTTGATGTTATTCTGATCCTCTAGTTATTCTAGAGAAGACCTACTGTAAACCTGTTATCATTATTATTGATAGTGGAAGTTTGAGGTGGACTGCGGTCCCGTGGTTTTTCCCACATTGGGTTTTCCATGTTAAAAAGATTTGGTCTCACTGTGTGATTGATTTATTGCTCTATTGTTTATGCCTCGCTGATTGATTTAGCATTTTGATATCAAGTTGGTATTTTGATGAGGAACCTATTTTGATACACAAAGAGGGAAAAGAATTATTCCGCACAGGTTTCCTCCCAACATTAATTTTAACGAAGAAAAAGCTTAGAACTATAAAGCAGTTGAAATTCTAATAGTTGTAGAAGTCACTAAAGCATACGATATATTGCCTATTATTAATGCTTCACCCAAATTCTCTCTTGAATGATTCTAACTAAAGTGATTCTAGTGATACTGAAATACATCTAAAGAAATTTTATACTCTTTCACAGATATATCAATTTGATGATTTTACATGTTTTGTTTTGAAACCTACTTGTTTTAAAGTTACAAAAGAATGAGTGCAAGTAATGAATAATGAACTTCAAGCTATTGAAAAAAATAGAACTTGAAAATTGGTATATTAGCCTCTAGGGAAAGAAGAAGCAATTGGACTCAAATGAGTGCACAAATCAAAATTTAATGTTGATGGCTCACTACAAAAATATAAAGCCTATTTAATTACTAAAAGATATGCTTAAATTTTAGATATCTATTTTTCAGGCACTTTTTCTCCAATTGTTAGAACTGATACAATTAGAATAATATCAGCATTGACACCCTAGAAAAAATGACAGATATATCAATTTAATATTAAATCAATCTTATTGAATGGAAAGTTACAAGATGAAGTTTTTGTAAAGCAGCTTGAAGGATTTAAGATCAAAGGGCTAGAAAATAAAGTATATAAATTAGATAAAATATTATATGGCTCGAAATGGTACAATAGAATTGACAAGTTCTTTCTTTAACATAATTTTCAATAAAGAGTTTAAGTGAGCCAACTTTATATATAAAAGCCCAAAATTCTTATTGTTTGTTTATATGCGGATAATGTAATTTATACTAAAAATTCAGCAAATATGCTTGTTGAATTTAAGAAAAATATAATGATAGAATTTGAAATGACTAATATGAGACTTTTACATTATTTTTTAGGAATAAAAATTATTCAAGGTGCAAATGAAATTTTTTATGCTAAGAAAAATATGCTAAAGATTTGTCTATGCTAGATGATCGAGTTGAAAAAAATAGATGAGCAACAATATAGAAGTTTAATTAGAGGGTTAATTTATCTCATATATTCAAGATCGAATATTATATTTATGGTTAGTTTGTTACTTAATTCATGCACAACCCTAGCAAGCATCACTTTGAGCAACTAAAAGAGTTCTTAATTATATCAAAGGAACTCTCAATTATGGCATCCGTTGTGCGGATGTCATAATTTTTATATTAAATTATAATAGTGATTAAGCTAGTTGTGCCGATGAATAAAAAAAAATTTAGGATTTATACAATAGCCTTAGTTCGATATCATTTCGTTCATGAACCGATCGATAGATGAGAAATTTAAATGGAATATTGTAGTACCAAGGATTAACTTATCGATATTTTTATAAAAGCCTTAGCAAAAGAAAAAAAATTTTAAAGATAATTTTAAGTTATAATTATTTTGAATTAAGGGGGGGTGTGATGAGATTAATTCAAATAGTTAAGATTAGATAAAATAAAAGATAAAAAATTAGATTAAAATAAATAGGTAAAGGTGAAAACATTTATTGGAATATGATGAATTTATTTATCATTTAAAAAAATATATTTTATCTTTAACTAATATAAATAGATGTTTTGAATGAATCCAAAACACACTCTTTATTTCTTTTACTATCTTCCTCCCCTTCTCCAAAACATATGCAAAAAGCTAACAATATTGACTACATAATTGAAGTGCCGTGCGACCAGTTCTCCAACTGTTTGATCAATGGAAGTAGCAGGGGAGGCACTGATCTGAATAAGATGTGCTATCAGATCAAACCATTGCAGAACCCAATCCTTTTGTCGTGGTATTAATCCCTCTTGTTAAAGGAGTGGTGTCAACTCATAGATTGATCGCTCATCAGATTGATGCCAAACCCTTTCACTTGGAACTTTCTGTACGCAGCACTTTATACGATTTCTTTCAGGAAACTTCTGCAGTCAAGCTGACAACCAGTTCACTCAATCACCACCTCTAAGAACTAAGCTCAACAGCTTTGTTCACTCGGCCGCCGCCACCCCGAAACCGACGGACAGCAGGAACTCCGCCCCCGGCCACCAGCACAGGCGTCGCCACCACCAGAACCACCAACGTCCCCGGCCAGCGCCAGCCCATCATAAAAGACTTGGTAAAAGGACGTACTTTGTTCTCTCCCTCTTCTCTCTTGTGATGTGGGTTCTTCGTAATCGACCCGGACTCATGCCTTAAGATTCGTGTACCAACGAGTCGCTCCCCGGTCGGGATTAATCGATGGGCCACATTGACGTTGGTGATCTGGGACTTTACATTGAAGTCCTTATGTACTCTTAAAAACAGGAACAAGTCCTTCGATTTGTGCTGATGTCATGGCGCCTCTGTGCATATTTATATATACAGACAAAGAAATTACAAGAGGGACTGAAGTGCAAAAAACACATCCACACCGCCCGCACCTGTTGTTCTCCGACCCATCACCGTACCCACGTGGGTAAGTCCCTCCCAGGAATCCGACCGTTGGAGCGCAGTCTCTCAAATCCGCCCCCAAATTATTAATATCTTCCGCCCTTCATGTTCCTTCCCCTGCTCTCACCAACGTCTCCAAATTTCAAATTCCCTCTACCCTCCCGACCCCTTCTCGGCCACCCGATGGCGATCGCCGCGGAGTCGCAGCAACAAGAGAAGGTAATCGACGAGGTTCTTGAGATCTCTTCTTGGATCTGTTCTTGACGGTCCTCGTTCGTCGACGTCGTCTTAGGGTTTGCGTCACATTCGTTCTTGTTTCTCCTGACTTGATCTCGTCCCTTCCGTGAGTCTGGCTCTAATAATCGGTGGGAAACGTAGGGCTTTCGGAACAGAAGGCCTTGCGTTCCTTTCCTCCTCGTGTGATCTAATTTTCCTCGTTGCTATGATTCTTGCGATTGTCTCAAGCGGAATTAGGGTTTTTCTATCTTGGGCTTTGATCCAAAGGTTAATTGAGTCTTCAATTTGTTGTTGACTATACTATTAACTGTTGGAGCATACACTAAAATTTATGGTCGATTTCTTTTGTGGGATTATGGTTTTGATATGATATGAATCAAGTGGTTCTGGATGATTTGTTGCGTATGATGGATCTTTGGAGCTTTCACATGATTTAATATTACAAATGCTCGTGATTACAGACTCCTTCGAAGGCCTCAGCGGTGGAGAAGCGATGGACGCTCAATGATTTCGACATTGGAAAGCCTCTTGGAAGAGGAAAGTTTGGTCATGTGTATCTGGCCAGGGAAAAAAGGGTATGTCTTGCAGAAGCGATTCGCTGATTTCTCATAGCATTTGGTCGTACTTTCTGCCTTTTTTTTCTGGTTCCATAGTCATCTGGTCATCTCCTGCTGAGAATACTATTTGTAGTTTGAACTTGGAACTTTTGCTGGCATGAATTATGTAGTGAATCGTCTGAAAGCTCAAATTCATAACAGAAAAGTCTTTCCTTTCTTCACATGTTATGATTGGTTCTATTGCAACTAATTTCGAACATCAAATTGGAAAACAGAGTAACCATATTGTGGCACTGAAAGTGCTGTTCAAGAGCCAGCTCAAGCAATCTCAAGTTGAGCATCAGCTGCGACGTGAAGTTGAGATACAGAGCCACCTCCGGCATCCAAACATACTACGCCTATATGGTTATTTCTACGATCAGGTTAAACCATTTGTGGGGAGCTGCCTCTACTAGAGTTGAATCCTAATTTGCTGCCTCCGATAACTTAGATTTTCCTCTTTATTGCAGACTCGTGTTTATTTGATACTAGAATATGCAGCAAAAGGTGAACTTTACAATGAATTGCAGAAGTGCAAGTACTTCAGTGAAAGACGCACTGCTACTGTGAGTTCTCGCAAACATGCTTAATTATATTGGCTTCTTCATGGACTTTTGCAGATTATTTGTGTTCTTCATGATAATTCATTGCTTATTTGATAATCTTGCAGTCATCGAACCAGCTTATTTGATAATCTTGATTTGGATAGTATTTCTTTTTTGCATGACTCAATTTATCCTCTATAACCTTAAAAATTGCATGTCAGTACAGTTCATCATCTTTTCCTGGGCATTATGGTTTATCCTTTATTATTCTTCATTCAGTACATCTCATCTTTAGCCCGGGCGTTAATATACCTCCATGGGAAGCATGTGATTCATAGAGACATCAAACCGGAGAATCTTCTGATCGGACTACAGGTATCCTCCTTTGTTTTTGTTACCTACAGGCAAAAGTTTAGCTGCTAATGACGTTGAATTCTCTGGATAGGGTGAGCTGAAAATTGCAGATTTTGGGTGGTCAGTTCACACATTCAACCGCAGGCGGACAATGTGTGGAACACTGGATTACCTTCCGCCTGAAATGGGTACGTCTTTGTTCATCATCAGTGATATCTGTGATAACTCTCACCTTTTGCCTAAAAGCATCCTGAGTTATCTTGCCTCTCTTGGTTACAGTGGAAAGTGTGGAACATGATGCCAGTGTGGATATTTGGAGCTTAGGTGTATTGTGCTATGAGTTCCTTTATGGGATGCCACCATTTGAAGCAAAGGAACACTCTGATACATACAGAAGGTAAGAAAATGATAACTGACGAGGTTATAAATTTTCCGTTTTAGTGTGATGGCTTGAAGTGCATGCTGGATTTTTAGGCAATTCATGAAATATAGGATTCATCAACTCTTTCTGTGCAGAATATTGTACATGTCACTGTTATTATGAGAGTAACAGCCAAACATAGTTAATGAGAAATTCTATGGATGTGAGATCAGTTGCTTTTGTCTAATATGACTGTTATTCTGTTAATCTACAATTATCAATCATAAGTATAAACAAAGGTTTTGTTATCATAGTATGCTGGACTCAAGTTCGAGTTATGTCATTTAGATCTCTTCAACGAGATATATATTCTTAGTGATTATTGGCCTGTGTTTACCTTGTGGATGCAGGATAGTCAAAGTTGATCTCAAGTTCCCGTCGAAACCAGTTGTTTCTCCCGGTGCAAAGGACCTCATCAGCCAGGTCGTTGATGATCAACCCTTCTTTTTTACGTAGTATATGCAACGACTTATTCTCAACATCAGCTTTTGTCTCGTGCAGATGCTTGTCAAAGATTCCACTCAACGTCTTCCGCTTCACAAGCTGCTCGAGCATCCATGGATAGTGCAAAATGCAGACCCTTCCGGTGTATACAGAGGATGATAACTTCGATTCCTCGCTGTCCACTTTATGTATTTTCTACCATCATTTAGGCAGAAAATACAAGTTAAAAAGAGGGTGTTAGAGAAATGATGACCAAGGATGTTTTAGTTCAGAATCTTTCGATGATGAAATATTCTGCTTGTATTCTGTATGTAGTCTACTCTTGTTGGTTTCCAGTCTAGTTTAATTAGTGACCACATCTACTCTTCTTAATAAGATTTGTTGTCCTATTGATTTCTCACAATCTTCCAGTGTGGTAGTACTGTTAGTTTGTGTTTTGCTCGAGCATCATTCTATATGTAACACTGCATCAGAACTCAGCATATTCTTTCCAGCCAGGTTAAAGATTTCTCCTTAGCATCATAGCAAACAACCAAGATGATTTAATTGGTGTAACCATAATTATAGAAACATATCACAAATCACATACCGGCATCCAAAATCTTTTGCAACAAGTGGCTACAAAATTGGTAATACTTACAGATACAGAATTATAGAATCTTTGTACTGATACAAATACTCTCCAATCTATCACATAGGGTATGGTCTCCCTGTAACTGGAAAATACATTTAAATTATCCACATGCTTGCTAGTACTTATAAAGATCTAGTAGCCAATTCTTATGCAATGCCTCTATACTCATCATATCTCAGATGCTGCCATCACTGATCCGTACATCATGATCATTCGGCAATGACTCTGTTGATGGTTCATCTTCCTTATTGGCATCCTCGATATGTTCGTGACTAAGAAAACTAGGTTGATTGGTTGAAGAAAGCAGCCTCGCCCACATCCTATCTGTTATCACAACCTTCTTGCATGTTTCCGTTACTCTCTGTGGCAAAGTAAACCAAAAGATTCTTAATTACTCGTCGGATGTTGAACTCCTAATGTGATGGCCCTCATTTCAGATTCATACTACATGTAGCATATAACAAAGCTCAAGAGGAAGACACCACTTACACAAAATGGTATGTAAGCATGCCTGCCATTGACAGGCCCAATGGTGAAACCAGTATACCCTGCCATAGCACCATGAATGGCACTATGTGCCAGCAATGTGCAGTAGACGTTGTCGGATGCATTACTTGGAACCGCACGAATCATGTAAGTAGGATCTGCAAAAGAAACATTTCACGATCATACATGTAGTATGAGCTGAGTGCAACATGATACAGGAAGATAATACTCTGCTGCCATACCGATATATTTAAGATTTATCGACATCTTCTTCTTATTGCTTGAGAAGTGATCCTGCACAATGCAGAAAGTCCCTGTGAGTATCTTTACAAGTAGCTTATGATCATGCAGGCAGAAACCTGCATCAATGTAGTCCAAAAAATCTACCTTTATCTTCTGTGACAGCCAAAGTCCAACATCTAGCAGAAGCTTATTTCCAGATGCATCTTCATGGTCCATGGATTGCATACTTTTCACAAGAAGATCTTGTCCTGCACCCTCAGCAACAACAATGACCATGTGGCCATTTTCTTTAAGGCGTTTCTCGATGAATTCCAAGAGTCCACCTTTCCCTTCCAAGTAGAAGGGTGACTCAGGAATTAAGCAACAATCCTGAAGAAAGGAAATGTAATTAAGCACCTCCCTTGGGAAAAAGAAGCCCTTTCCTATTAGTTCACATTCTCATCCTATCCAATATTATTGTAAGTGAGGCAAATCTAGAAGAATCATATATAACTAATAGAATTCAAGCAATAAATTGAACTGATGTTTTTTTTATTTTGGTGGTGGGGTTTATTTTAACAATGGTAAGGGACAAAGGCTTGCTAGGAGAAAAAAAAAGAAAAAAAAAAAGAAAGAGAAGAAAAATTATGGGTCTTTTGTTCAGGTATAATAATTTTTCAGAAAATCAATTAGAATGGAAGATATTTATGTAATGTTTATTCACAGTTGATAATCCATTCCCAACTCGGACGTGGATTAAGAAAACAAAATTAGCTGGTGTCTTGTTGTGATAGCAACAACATAAGAGCTTTAATATAAATAGGCAATGATGAGGGACTTTATATAAATATGAAATCCAAAAGAAAATTGATCAGTTATGGAAGAAACTTAGGACATAGAACCTACCACATCTCGGCTTGCAAGAGTAGCATACATTGCAATAAACCCTGCAACAATGAAAAGAGTTGGATGCTCAGTCAACTAAAAACATACTAGTAAAAAAACAGTCCCCGACAAGCTAAATAATGTGTAACAAAAAATATAAAGAAAGTGTAAACTCAAAGTTGATCCACTTAGCATAGCAACTTGCAAAACTTTTGGGTTCTACTAACAGCATTTAGCAGGTTTCGTTCTTAGAATCATAAAGGTTTATGACATCCATAGGTATGAAGAACTTAAAGAGATATCTGCAGGAAGTATATAATGCTTCTACTAGAAATTAAAACTATGATACAGATACATTTTCTCTTTGGTACTAGTTCAAATGTTAAAATAGAGTGGAAATGGACTTCAGATAAAGAAAGACCAGTTGAGAAAATTAGTAAAAAGAATATGTAATTAATTGAAGCTGTGTCAGCGAAAACATTGATTTGATCACATAAAATTTATATTTTCTTTAAGTGATGTCACTTTAAATATGATCAACCACTTTAGGCTTCACAGTCATAGAATGCCTTTAATTAAGGATTAGAAACTAACCACTATAGCGACCCATTAGCTTCACAACGCCAATACCATTTTCGACACTATCAGCTTCTACATGTGCTGCATTGATCGCTCTTTGTGCCTCTTCTACAGCAGTATCAAAACCAAAGGACTTGTCGATGACCTAACACAGTATAAAAAAATAATTGTCAATAGAAATACGCTAGAAAAGCTGAACTACAAGATATGGAAGAACCAAGTACCGCTATGTCATTATCTATAGTCTTTGGAATACCAGCAATAGCAACTTTGAGGCCACGTCTTTGAATTTCCTAAAAATGATCATTATCAGGCTTGATGAACAGATGCTACAATAGATTTTTGGTGAAACTGACATAAAATACAACAATGAAATCACAAAATGGAAAGATACTCGACCACCATAGCACTATCAAAGAAAATTTTCATTTGTAACATACCTCAAATATTGCAGAGGCTCCCTTTTGAGTTCCATCACCTCCGATTATATAGACCTGGCAAACAAGATATCGCTAAGAAAATGAACTGTTGACTAGAAATCATACAATAAAATGCTGCAAAATTAACCTGATTGATGCCACGATCTTGGATACTGTCCACTATCTTTATAGTATCATGACCACCTCTTGATGTGCCAAGGATTGTGCCCCCTCTTTTGTGAATGTCATTGACACTCTTGGTAGTCAAGCTGATGGTGTTGCGGGCATAGAAGCCCCTGTATCCACCCTACCGATACCAATTTCAACATTAGCTGATGAAATTATTACAAGGCAACTATATAGCAACAGGGGAAGCCCCTCACCTCTATGCCAAGGATTTTGGTGACGCCATACATGTCAGACAAGCCACATACTATTTCTCTTATCACAGTGTTGAGCCCTGGGCATAAGCCTCCGCATGTCACAATGCACGCATGCACCTCATCCGACTCAAAGTACACCTGAACAAGATCCAACAACATGATCAAAGCTTCAGTCTCATCCTTCCTTTTTCTTGATGGATACACCACTTCAACTTAGTTAGCAGAAAACAGAGCAGAACCTACTTTTTGGCGAGGTCCAGCGCGGCGGAAATGTGTCTCTCTCGGGCTGTTCTTGTGGACCACAATCTACAAAACATCAGAAAGATAAGCAACCCAATTTCCAGAAGCAAAAGCCACAACTTGACAATCTGTGTTTTTGCTTGACATATATTTATAGCATATGAAGTAAATCCTAAAGAGCTCACCTTCTGGGCGACCGTATCATCTAAATTCACAAAATATTGCCTGCCAACACAGAGTTCAACGAAGACATCATTATGGAACATCCGAAGATGAGAAACAAAATCCGGGTAGAATTAGAGAACATACTTGACAACCGAGTATGCTGTATTATCTTGCAGTGGATTCGGATAGGTCTGCCGATACAATCAGAAAAAGAAAGAAAGAGATTAGACGGCATAAAAGGCAGCCAAACATTAAAATAATGCTACTATATGAAAACAACCACAAATTTGGAGGACATCAGCAACATCTTATGAATTTGACCTCAAACAAATTCTAGAGTCACAACCAACAGACCAAAAAGCAAGAAAAAAAAAATCCAACTTTAAAGTATTTTCTCAGGAAAAATCGTATTTTTAAGAGGAGTAAAGGGGGGAAAGTTGGAAAGAACGGTTTCCCACCGGCAAATCAGGCAAGTAGTCGGTGAGGTGGGGGACATCCTCAAGAACATAACCCCCATCCCCGTACTCAATCTTCGGACACAATCTCGCCTCCGATCCCATCTTCTTTCCCAGCCGCAGCTTCACTTCAGCTCCGTTCCTCACCGGCAGCTTCACGGAGGAAAGCGAGCTCCGGAGATCAAACAAACGGTTCGAGTTCGCAGCACTCCCGTTCGAATCCGCTCCGATCTTCTGAGGGACCGGGGGATTAGGCAAAGACTCCATCGATCAATAAAGAAACGAGGGGATCAAAGCAGAGGTTCTTCTTTGGAGAACTTCTTAGAGACGCCATATTTAAAGGAGGAGAAGAGTTGGTGGTTGTCAGATCAGGCGGCTCGGTTCTACGGATTTGTGGCGGTATGCGTGATGGTGATGTGAACTAAAAAGGAGGAAGAAACACGAAGACGAAGAAGCAGAGGAACGAGAAGAACAGCAAGAAAAGAAACAGGAAAAGGATGGAGGGAGGAAGGAGAGGTTGGTATTCTCCGGTCGTGAATGGCTACAGGGATAGATTGACCTCCGAGTTGTCATTTATTTGCGTTGGATGCCACTTTCAATTGCGGAGGGAAATGGAATATCCCTTTTTGATGCTCCCATCCGCGGAGGTGATCTGGGCTTCCAAGTGCAACGTGTTTCCATCACATTCGTCTAGCGCAAGAGAATTTTGGAACCGGGCCTTGCATCCGATCGTCACCCAGCGTGCGATGACTGCAGGAACTGGCCTTGGTGTTTCCTTGGAACTACGGGATTGCCATTACCTTGCCGGACAGGCAACAGCGGTCGGGGGCGGCCCAGGTGTTGTACGCGAAGCACGTGTCCATCGGGCTTGCCGAAGGCTGGGCGCACGTTTTCCTCACGTGTGACAAAAACCCTTTGATGTGGGTCGTAAGTTT